TACTAGATTTAGAATATCGATTAACATATATTTGTTTCACAATGTGAATCTTTTTAGCTCGTTTGTGAAACAAAAGTTACAAGTAAAAAAGTTTCACATTGTGAACCACATATATATAAAGCAAACGTATTGTGAAATGAATATAAGTTTATCAATACATTATAGTCTTAGATGAGAAAAATATATGTGAAACATAAGATAAAAGTTCTCATGGTTATCACAATATACAGAGTTCTCAAATGATTAAGCCGTAAGGTTACAAGTTGCTGAATGTATGAGGAAAAATTAGCTCCTAATGCCCATTGCTGCAATCTTCTCATAATCTCATCTTAATCTGTATATGATATTATGATCTATAGCTGAAGTCTAACAAGACGTAATGTTGGCAATGCCACATGAACTCTTGAAGCCCTTGAAGGCACATAACTTTTTGTTTGAATATGTACTCCATCGTTTCTCCATAGCTATTGTCCAAGGAAACCAACATTCTCACAAGATGTCCACACGAAGATCAACTGGAACTAAAATGATGTCTTCAAAAGACACTTTGTAATGATACTGTAGTTTATTTTCTTTCCTTTCCTGATAGCAACTAAATAAACTGGAACAACTCCAGGTATTCTTTCCCTGGTGTTATGAACTTAGAAGGGACCGTTTACCCAAGCACTTATCCTGTTAGTGCTTACAGGTAAAATTCAACACTATCATTTACGTAAATTCTTAGTTCACCAAAATGGCATCATATGTAACAATTTACCCGGGAAGGGTTAACCATGGTAAAAATCGTTGCCATCACTTACCGGGTAAGACTCTCGGTCCTTGCCTTTAATCTTACCAAGTAAGATTCTTGCATAGAAGATAGATGCCAAATGTACATCCAGACGGTTTAAATGAATCTTGCATTCAAGGCCGTTCTTGGGCAAGGACGGGGTGGGTATTTGCCCAGGGTCCAACGAAAATAGGGGCCTCGAAAGTTTTTATTAGTGAAGGCACAGAGCCCCGGGCTCCTCCACTGCTTGGGAGTATTTATATAAAAATTAATTGATTAAAATTACATAACCATCCATTGATTCTCTCTTAGAAAGGGAATGTATGTTTGTTTATTTTTCTTCAATCTTATTGTCGACTTTTCCAATATCAATAGCAAAGCTTACGTTCTTTCTGAAAGCAGAAACAATGAACTATTCTTCACCATAATGCCTGACAAATCGTCTAAGGAGCTGTTCAGTTGGTTTTTATTAAGCTATGTATGGATTAGTTGTCTGTTGGGATTTATTATCTGTGTGGATTAGATTTTAACGTCCATGTGCATTTTCTAACAACTCCATATATACATATCAATATCCATTCTGACTAGTGTAAATTAAATGGAATATATGATTATACTATATATTGACATATGATATATGATCACCATACGTTGAACTGAGTTGTACTTTCTAATATTTTTTGAATTGAATTTATTTCGATAATGGAAAAACAAGTCATTCAAGGTTTCTATGATATTTGCTGGAATCGTTTTTTCTTTACGATCCACGTTTATAAAATATAAGGATTGGGTTTGCTTGCATACTCTTTTAGTGACTCAGATTATGTACTTCGAAGTTCGAACTACCGTACCCATCCTTTTAACTGGTACTCAAGTCACAATGACAGTTTGTGTGATGATCAATTAGAAATTGTGGAGGACTAGAAGAACATGAACACAGAAAGGATCTTCTGCCGAGTCTTCAATGGGAAGTAATTATGGAAATGGCTTGTGGGAGTTGTTTTAAGCACAAGTATCTTAAAGAGTTAGACATGTAGGTGCATCCATCCAATAGGCGTCATCTTTTGAATAGATACCAAGAGAAATTGAAAAGAAAAATGCACACAAAATAATTTAGAACAAGTTTTGAAATGAAATAATCACACGACGAATTTTCTGCCATTGGAGTCTTTGTAACTCTAGAACTTTGCTTGTAGCTGATCCACCATACTAGTATCAACTTGGAATGCCTTGGCTAGAATATCACTTGGAATAGGAGGATTYGCACCAAAAACCGAATTTGCGATTGTTATGGCACCTGGGTTTTGGCTACTCAATGCGGCAATAACAACTGCATATCCATTACCGACATTGCGTTGGAAATGAACGAGTCCWACTGGGAACACAAACACATCACCCTTTTGTAGTACCTTGGTGACAAGACGGTTATCGGGATTAGAAGTGACAAATCCGACTTGTAGGGAGCCTTCAAGAAC